AAGCCTGCTGAGGAGAGAGGATTGCAGTCGCGCTGGCGTAAGAATGTCGCAGCGCCGACAGCAAGTAAGCACAGTGTTGGGTTCAGGATCACTACCCGTGACGGAGCCAGTACCGGTAACAGTGCGCGGCGAGACGGACGAAGTAGAATTCGCGGCGCATGACCGACCATCGGTCCCGAGCCTCCTGGGGAGGGTAGAGTTGGAACGATTTGGTTTGGTTGAGAGAAGGTCCGGGAAGGCGTTGGTCCTGGCGGCGCAGAGAGGCGCGGTTGATGAGATACGGCTTGCGGAGAAGTACAAAGAACAGCCACTCGTAGTAGAGGAGCAGTCGGAGGATCCCTTCGAGAGGCAGCGGCAGGTGTTCGTGGAGGGTACGGGACACCTGGACCAGAGCCTGAGGGACGGGCTGTGGATTCTGTTGGTCGCATACAGAGACGTGTGGGAGTACCCGAAGGTGGCGCGCGTCAAGTACGAGGCGCGTTTCGAGGCAAGCGGCAAGGCGTACAAAGCGGGGTTGAGACATCTCGACCTTGAGTCGCGGGCCGAGTTGGAGAAGCAAGTGGAGAAGCAGCTGAAGCTCGGAGTCATCCGTCCTTCGAAAAGCAAGTGCGCCGCCGCGCCGCACTTCGTGAAGAAGAAGACGGGCGAGTGGAGGTGCGTTTTGGATTACCGGAGGGTGAACCAAAGCATGGCTGCCGACTCGTATCCGCCGGAGTTTCAGCGCGCGATGGACATGGTGTTTGAGATGTTGGACGATCGCGTTACATTGATAATATCATCATCGCGACGGACGTGATGTAGCGGTTGGAGAAGGTCTTGCGACTGTGCAGAGAGAGAGTCTTCTACCTCAGGCTAGATAAGAGCGAGTGGCTCAAGCCCGAAGTAAAGTACCTCGGTCACAGGATCGGGCGGCAAGGGATAGCGTGCCGAGAGGAAGATCGGCAACGTTCTCAATGCCCCCGCCCCGCCTCAAGGAAGGAACTGCAGAGCTTCCTAGGCGCCGTTGGGTATCTACGACCCTTC